ATCAGAGACAGGGAAGAGAGGTGAGGGCCTGCAGGAACCGGCCTGGCAGGGTGTGAATAAGAGACTCGCCCAGCATAGAGATGGGAGCCCACATCCCGCGGCTGACCCTCGCTGCCACTGGGATCTTGGGGAGGAGGACCCCAGGATTCTTGGGGAGAAATCCCCTGCCCAATCTGGGTCTCAGAAGCACTTAGGGAAATGCGTCCATTCTCTTTAAGGGGCCCCCATGTCTCCCCTCCCCCTCCCCAAACAGCTCAGCTTCCAGGCGGTGTCTGGGTTAATTAATATGAATGTGTAACCGTGCCGCAGCAATCGATACATCCCTGCTGTGGGCAGATTCCAGCCTCAAAATCCAATTACTCTGAGAAACTCCAAAACTCATGAGAGTGACCAATGGCCCCTCTTCTAAAAGAAGAGAGCTGGTTCTTGCTGGCCATGTCCTCCAAGCTGGCTGGGTTGATCCCAAGCTCAGTTTGGGAATCCTGCTAGGCAGTCTACATTCTCGCCTGTTCTGAGGCACTGCTTCCGCTCCAGCATCCAGATCCCAGGAATAAAAGAACCAGGCAGGGAAAGGAGTTTCCTCTTTTCAGGCTGTCCCACGTCCTGCCCTCCCAACCCTCAGAAAATAACTTCTTACAGCCAGGGAAGGGTTAACTGTCCCTTCCACAGTTATGGAGAGGAAGCCCATGAAATATGGGCACTTGGAACTCCAGGCCTGGCTGGCTTTCCTGTTTACACTTCTCTATATTTCCTCCCACCCGATGGCCACAGAGAAACAAAACAAATCAAGCAACCAAATAAAACAAAACAAAAAGTCAAAATCAAATTGTGTGCTGAGTGGTGGCCAGGCAGGCCTCAGAGCCCAAGAGAAACTGCAGCCTCTGTCTCTGGCTGCTGCTTTCTGGGGCCTCCCTTCGGCTGGGGTTGAAGGTTTGGCCAGAGGACAGGGGTCCTAGTTCAGAGGCTGAGGCCTGGTCTGGAGGGGAAAAGGAAGTAGTGGGGGGAAGGGAGAGAAGAGCTTTGGAGTGTGGAGCAGCATTTCCAGAGAGACCTCCCGGGGACAGATAGGGAACCAGGACAGACCTCTAGGGCCTCTCAACCCCTCCCCCAACTAGTCCGGATTGAGGATCAACCCAGAAGCCCAAGTGGAAAGAAGAAAGCCCAGCTGGGCTTTCTCCAGAATCCCGAACGTGCTAGGGTTTGGTCGCTGTGGCAGCAGCAGTGGGTGCCCTTCCTGGGGCTGCACTTTGCCTTTGGAAAATCTGCCTAGATATCCCCGGCAGATGCCCCCGTGGCTCCTTATCAGAGTCTGCACAAGAGATGTGCCAGAGGGGGGAATCTTCAAGGAAGCCTGGGGGGGGGAGACAGAGAGAGAGAGAGAGAGAGAGAGAGAGAGAGAGAGAGAGAGAGAGAGAGGACTGAGGTTAGAGGCTCGGTAGGATTAGGGTTCCCCTGAAGGCCCTGAGCTGGGCCCTCACAGCTCTGCACATCCTGGGGACCCCTCTCAATCTCTTTGCCTTGTAGAGAGTGTTCTAAATGGTGCGGGGGCCCTTTTGGGAGCTGACCAGCTTGTCCTTTGTGTCAATTCCAAGTGGTACACATGCCCATCATTCTTGGAAAATAGGTCTTCACCCCAGGCTGAGGACCCCAACCCTTCTGGGCTCTAAGTCTGCTCAAAGCCCCTTCAGGGTTTCCTGTAAGATGCGCAGAGAAGAGTGAAGGAGCAGCTTCGGTAGCTGCAGAGGGGAGAGTTCCATCCATCACCCCTGAATGGGAAAACAGGGATTCTTTTGAGCCCCCTCCTTGTCCCCAAGTCAAACTAGGAACTAAATGTTCAAACCCAGGGACCAGAGGCAGGCGTTGGTGAGCCATAGGAGGAAATGGGAGAAGGACAGCTGCATCCCTGGAGGTCACCTCAGGAATCCTAAATTTAGGGGGAGAGGAGGCCCGTGGCAGGCGGAAGAAGGGGGCTTTTCCTTAGAAAATAACAGGCCCCTTAAGGTTGGGTCCTGAAGTCCCTCTTGTTCATGATGCCACAGAACAAAGGGGCCTTGTAGGAACTGCGGGGCAGAGAAGTGGAGAGAGGCAAGAACACCTTTTCACCTTTTCCGTTTTCCTCTCCCAAACACTGCCTCTCTGCTGCCACTGTCGGGGCTCATGCTCCTGATGGGACTGATCTGGGGTGAGCCTTCTAGGGGTCTCTTTAAACATCTCCTCCTCCAGGCTGGAGCAGAAGCCCTCCTCCTCACCTCCTGGCCAGCTACTAGGTTTGGAGGTTTGGGGTTGGAGGAGATTGCACCCTCTATCCTGTACCCTACTGCTGCCCGTGCTGACCCCAGGACCCTTTGCAATCCCAGCCGAAGGAAAGGATCACTTGAGACACACAGGCTGCATCGGGCATGAAGGCTCTGTGCTCTGCTTCCTGGATGACCCTGAGAAGGCCACGCGGAGCCCTTTTGTGGGGCTCAAAGACCAGAAGGGCAGACAGCACCCCAGGTGAAGCAGCCCACAGTGGCCTTCCCTTGTCCTCAGCTCAGATCTACACGATACAAGTGCCCAGCGATGCGTCTCTCCATACTCCTGACAAATGAATGTAACAAGTTTCTTTTCTGGAGATGGGGAGATAGATGCCAGTCTTGGGGCAGCCAGCTGTGAAATGGCTCCCCTTCCTCTAGCAGTACACACCCCTCCTCGTGCCCCGAAATTTCCCAGCACACTGAAGAAAGGAACATGAATCCCACACAACCGTCTTGCCCTCTAAAACCCGACAGTCCTGCAAACAAAATCCAGGTGCCCTGGACCATCGATGCTATTTGGAACCAACGGCCCCCACTCTAAGCACCCAGTTTCTTAGAGCTGGGGACAGAAAGGAGCTCACCATTCCCTACAAGTTTCCACAGCCTGCTGGAAGCGAGATTCCTTCCCCCAGCCCTAAGACCCAGAAATGCAAGCGCAGAAACGGGAAAGCAAAAGCTGGGCGCGACTTACTGCGAGGCCGGCTGCTGGGCCACCACCGCCTCCTGGGCTGGTCGGCTGCTCCAGGCTGGGAGAGAGCTCACCTAGTACTGCCCCCTTCCCCACCACAGCGAGCAGTTAAAGTGTCACTTAACATTCTGGAGAATGTGAAATATACCGCACGGTGTCAACTCCCCAAAACCATAAAACTAACTTTATGGACCTCACGTGACTTTCTCGAGCCAGTGAGGGGTATCTGTCTGACTTCTCGGCGATTTTTACGATCTAACTTCGAGATAAAACCCCTATCCATTTGACATCTAAATGTCATAGCGACTTTTGGGATAGTTTGTTATCGGCAAAGGGGGACAAAGTCAGGGGGTGAAGGGGAAGTAGGGCCCAGTAGAGCCTCCAGGACCCTCGGCTGCCTCCTCTCCAGCGCCCTCCCCCAGGCCCCCGTGAGAAGTTGGGCCCAGCTGGAAGGGATTGACTCGGGTAAGTGTCCAGCTCCACTCGACTCTTGAGCTCAGGGTGGAGGCTGACTGGGCTGGAAGGGAAGCCAGAGCCCTTTCAGGAGGGAACCCAACTCCTAACCGAGGGGAAAGCCAGTTGGCCCTTCAGAAAGAAGAAGCCCTAGAAAATTGTAGAGAAGGATGAGGCTGAGAGGAAATCTTTGAAATGGATCTGATTATTTCTTCTTCTTTTTTCCTTATTGGGTGACAGAGTTGAACTGGGGTTTGGAGCAGGGAGCAGAGTGGCCAGGCAGGCCTCTACCGCTCCCAGAAGGCCAGGAGCCTCTGCGCAGGACTTAGGCCCCAATTTTTTTCCCCTGGACAGTTTACCACAGGGTTTCTCAGTGACCAGTGGTGGAGGCCAAATGGGGCCCAACCTGGATCCATGGTGAGGTTCTCAATCCTCTCAGCACCAGGCCTGAAGCCCTGTCCTCTGGCCCAAGCACCACTGACCAACCAAGCCAAGCCAGGACTCCTGTGACCTAGAGACTCCTGCTTAGCATCCTATAGTCCAGCCTATACCCTAGATTTCCCAGAATGACCTAGGGTGTGCCCAGCCATGAGAGAGGCAGACCCCACAGAAAAGACAAATAGTGGAAGGGCAGGGGAGTAGGGGAAACATTTATTTGACTTTAAGGAAAGCTACAAACAAATACCAAAAGCGAATCACCGAGACAGGCCTGGCAAAGACAGACTTAACACACGGCACGGCACCCACTTGCTGCGCACTGTATATGGCCTCGAACTGACTGAGGCAGGAAAAGCTGGGTCTGACCTAGGCTAGCCTCATATTTACAAGCGTTGGGCCTTCCAACAGACCCCTGGGTCCATAGAGAAATACACAGGAGACATTTCACACGAGGGTTATTTCTTCTGCTTCTGTCCACCCCCAGACCAGGCCTTGTGGGCCTATCAGGCAGCAGGGACTGAAATCTCACTATTTCTCTCCCCTCTTTTCCACATCATCCCTGTGGGCCCTCCCTGGCCCCTGCCCACCCCAGGACCAAGCCCCTGGGAGACTTGGACCTGGGGAGTGAGGAAGAGGAGGAGCAGGAGGAGAAGGAGCGGGTGGAAAGAGGCACAGTCATGGACTCCATGTCAGAGGCCAGCTCGGCTGGGCCCTGCGCTGCGACACTACCCCACTCAACTGCTGCCCTTAGAGAAGTCTCCCGCTGCACCTCGAAATACAGCCATCATCCTTTTATAAATAAGTTAGGACACAGATTGGGGGGGAAGTTCACATTAAACATGCGAATTTCTTTTTTTTTCTTCTTCTTTTTTCTGGGGGAAAAGAGTGCAACCACAGACACGAACATTCAGAAACACTGGCAGATTTGGGGCGAGCAGAGGGGAGTGGAGAGTCTGGAGGGAAATAATAAGTATTATTATTATTATCATTATCATTATTATTATTATTATTATTATTA